TCAGTGCCCCCCAGGGGCAGGGCCAGCACAGCATGCTGGGGATCAACCTGGCCACTGAGCTCTGCCTAAATAGACTCGTTAGTCTGCTGAGCTATCTGGCCAGCCCTAAAAAAAAATCAGTAAATGTTTAAATAAAATATACTTTACAATAGAAGACATATTGTCATTAATCCACCTCCTCTAACCATTCCCTCTCACTTCAAAGCATTTATCCCATAGTTCTTGGCAATGTTTCTTTTACTATAATATAAAATATTTAAGCATTCACCTTATTTTTCTATCCCCCTTACATTTACAAAGAAAATGAAATCAGTATCTCAAATAAATACCTGCACCCGCGTGTTCATTGCAGTAATATTCCCTTACATGCAATTAAGCTTAATATATATATATATATATATATATATATATATATCCAACATGCTAGCCCCCATCAAGCAGACCAATTAAAGTTATCTCCTCTGAAGAATTACATGAAGAGCTTTCTAAGGTCATGCATAGCCCTTCTTGGCACAATCAGATTTCTGACCATTTCCAATGCGTCTCCCGCAGTCTAGGTATTCCCTGTCATGTTTACTGTTCCCTACATATGTCAATTGTTTGCACTCTCCTAACTGTACATACTGTTCCCATTGCTCCCAACAACTTTCTCTTCCTCACTCTTTGTATCCAACTCCTGCTCATCCTTAAAGTTAACTTCAACATCCCCTTCTTGGAAAAGGCCTTTGTTGACTTCTTTCCTAAGGCTGACTTCACTCTTCTTAACTCTGCATTTTCCAAAGCCTTATATTTATTTGGATATTTGTCCTTGTCACTGGACTGCAAACTCTGAGAACAAAATCCTGGGCTGATTCCTCTGACTCTTCCATTCTCCCACTTGGCTGGTCCACAGTGTGGATTTTTGTTTTCAATGAACGCTATTTTATATGGCAAGTCTGATCCCTTAGTGTACTTCCTTGACCATGTACTCATTCTTGCACTCTTGTGAAGTACCCATTAATAAATCATCTCATGAGCTTCATCTTTTTCTGGTGCTTTCCCTCATACAGAGACTGTCTTACAATGACCTCTACCTGGTGTCAGCTTTCCTTCTCTCACCCCTGATGCAGTCGTGTCCTTCAGTCATCAAGGACTAACTTCCAACCAAGGCTGGGGTACACAAGACAGAGCCTGGGTGTGGGTGTGGGTGTGGGTGTGGGAAGCATCCCTGGGATAAGTGGTACACCTGGAAGTTGGACTATGCCCATTTGAAAATGCCAGTGTGGCCAGTGGTCCTTGCAATGGCCAGCTAAGACCCAGAGCACAGAGCCCCTTTGGGCTGCAGTGAGCACCTCCCTTCCTGCCAGTGACACCCGTCAGCAGCAGCCAGGCTTTAGGTTCTGCTCAGGTAGCATTTGTTGGTTTAGTTACGCTACAAGGCTTCTGCTCCTGCCCCTGTTGTTATAGCCTACAGATTCCTGGTACCAGTCTGATAAAACAACTTAATTAAATGGCAATAAAAGGAAAGTGAGCTGAAGGTACCTCGTGGGAGAGGAGGCCAGAGTTGGAGTCTAGTGTTCCCTCTTGACTGTGAGCCTTTCGCTGTCCTACCTAAAGGCCTCGGGTGGGCTGCGGGCATGGAATTCAGAGGTGTGGAGTTGTGTTCAGAGGCCCGGAGAGGTTATCCACCCCAAGAGCTTGTTCATACTGGTCCCACTCAGCACATCTCACACTCAGGTCCCAAAAAGATAGACGGGTGGATATCTAAGACACCCAGTCTCTAGGACTCAGGACTTAGCTTCAGCCAGGGCCTGACTTGCAACACCATGCAGGAGGAAACTGGAGACACTGAGACCCATGTTCTTGGGAAACCCTCTCCTGGAACCCCAAACTGGTTTGTTTTTTATAAAATAAATAAGCTTACTAAATGTAATGTATGTAGCACATAAACTCACCTTTTTAAAGTATTTTTAGTTCACTCACAGAGCTTTGCAATCATCACCATTTCTGAATATTATACTCCCAGAAGAAACCCAACATCCTTTAGCTATTGTCCCTAATGTTGCCATTCCTCCTAGCAGTAAGCAACCACTAATTCACTTTCTGTCCCTATTTCCTAGTCTGGAAATTTGAAATGAATGGACTCATGACATATACTCTCCTATGATAGGCTTCTTTTATTTAGCATACTACTCTCAAAATTGCATGTGTCAGTTGTAATAATAAAGCATGCGTCAATACTTCTTTCTTCTTTACAGCCAAATAATATTACTTCGTATGAATGTGTTACATTAAACAATTTTATACATTTAAGGCAATGTCTTGACATACCACATTTGGTTTATCCATTCTTCAGCTGATGGTCATTTGAGTTGTTTCTACCTTTTGAATATTGTGAATGAGGCTGCTCTAAATATTTATATACACGTATCTGCAAGGATGTAGGTTTTCAATTCTCCTGGATTGAGAAATGTATTTATTCTTGCATCTTATTAACAATATCAGTACCAATACTGATGGATGGTCTAAAACCTTATTGTGTCATTGACTGGTTAAAAAATAGGGAGGAAGCTGCAGTAGAAAAATACAGAGAAGCAAATTGCTCTGCCCCTGGTTGCAGCGCTGCGTAAGGCCAGGGAGAAAGGTCACAGATAGCACTCAAGAAAATTAGTCATCAAAACCTGCGTAATTTTACGAGGAAAAAAGTACTGGGGTACTAGTTTGAAATTCAGGAAAGATTTTTTACCTTTTTTTTTTTCCGGAACCGGGGATTGAAGTCAGGCCCTTGTGCTTGCCAGGCAAGCACTTATTCTACTAAGCTATCTCCCTGGCCCCAGAAAGATTTTTTAAATCACCAATACATATTCACATATACCATCATTTTAACACGGCCCAGTTTATGACCCTGCCTTGTGTCATCTAATTCTCCAGTGAAGACCATGTGCCTCCACCAACAGGAATGAAGGTTTCACCTCCCAACTATTTCTCCCCTTCACCAAGGGGACTTGGGGCTTAGCTTTTGCAGCCTCAGGGGTGGGGGCTGGGTAACAGTTTTCAGAGGCTTCTCTTTTGTCACAGCTGCAGCCCTCAGAGCTCTGTGTGGGGGAAATGCAGCGCTACTGTCTGGGCATTCTGGCCTGTTCAGCGTCTGTCGCCATATGTGTGTGGCTAAGTCTGACAGGCAGAGGTTGCTGTGGACACTAGTAAATTGAACCATGTGAAATTGCCAACATTCGTTCATTTCTGACCTATAAAAGTGGCAGTTTTATGGACCTCATGTGATCCAACCTGCCCATCTCTGATGTCCTCTTCCTTTCCTTCCGGTGCTCCTCTCAATGGACCACATCTTATGTGCTGTGGCACTTTTTCACCCCTCCAGCCCAGTTAGTCCAGATTCGGTGCTCTGGGAGGCTTGTCTGTCCTTCTGGTCTAGCTGGTCTCCAGCTGCTCAGCCTCGTGCCTGGAGGCAGGTGTGAGAGAGACTCAGACAGCACAGAGTTTTTCTCTTCATTGGTCTTTCAGTTTACAACTTGCCCCTCCAATCCATGCCCTGTGCAAGCGCAGACGCACTCTGCCGCCAGTGACTTCAGCTCTGGCAACAGTGATTTCCCATCACGGTGCACATAAAAGAGCTGAATCCCTTGACTGGGTTGGAAGACACAGCTTCCATTTCTGCCACTTGCTTTCTATTCCAGGGGTGCCAAGCTGCTTGCAGTCCCAGGTGGGAGGTACCTGTGTTCACGTCTCTAGGCTTCTGCACCTGCTCCTCCTCCACCAGGAAGACCTCCAGCACAAGCCTCTCTCAGCCATGTCTGACTGATCTCTCAGGACTCCTCCCAGGAGGCTTCATTAGGCCTCCAGGTTGTGTTGGGAGTCCTTCCTCTCTGTTCCCATTCCCTTGTGCCTCTGTATTTCTGCCACCACAGTATTTTAACTGCAGGCTCCCAATACAACCTCATATATCAGAGTAGAAGAGTCAGAAAACTTATTTAACAGAACTAAGCAGCAGTACTGTAACTCAGTTTCCCTGTTTGTTGGAAGAAAAATCTAGAAGCTTAGGTCTTATCCCCTGGCCTTCTCTAGGCCACATTTGTTCCGTGGGGTAGCAAGGGGTGGCTTTAAGGGCTCTTCCACTTCATGTAGTCTAAGAAACCAGGATATGGAATCCTCACTCTTCCAGAGCCACACACTGGCATCCTGTGTGGACTCCAGAAAATGGATGGGAGAACTGCCTATGTGGAAGTTTCCAAGGACTGTTGAAGATGATTATTTTCTGTTCTTTTAAAGTTTCCTTTTTAACTCAGCTAGTGTTTGCAGAACACCTATGATACTCATGCCAGTATTAAGCACAGGCGCTTGTCGCAAAATTGCAAATACCGGCTTCCCTGGATGCTGCATTCCCAGATTATCTTGCAGTGACTGCTCAACTCCTACACCTTTGGTTGTTCACTCCATCCGAGATCGAGGATGGGCGAAGCTAGTCCATGTCTCCAAATGTGTTGCAGCTAGCCGGCATTCACCTCTGAGCTAGCGAGGGTCCCGGGGTGTCCTCGGCCCGGGCACCCTCTGGTGGCGGAGCGTGGAAACTCTGGCCCGGCGGGGAGCCGGTCAGGGAGAAGGGGAGGGAGGAGGGAGGAGGAGGCGCGGGTAGGGGAGGAGAGGGAAAAGTTGCGCTGGGAAGTTTGGAAAGTTGGGAAGTGGCTGCCGCGGGCTTCGCCTCCCTCCGAGAGTGTGAGGGAGCGAGCGAGGAGCGAGCGAGGAGCGAGCGAACGCCTGCCATGCCCATCAGACCCCGCCTCGCCGCGTCCGGGCGCAGAGCTTGCCCAGACTCCCAGCGGC